ACAGATTTGAAAAGACCGCAGGCGGGATCGGGATCAGGCAGCCGGCACTGCCATTTCTAACTCAATTCCCACGGAGTTGGAGTGCCACAAAGGCCACGGGTGGCTGGTGCCTGAGTCTGCACCTAAGCGTACTACAAACGCCCGCCCCCTCCCCCCATGTTCAGCATGTTATGGGGGCACAGCCCGAACGATGCTTGCTGCGCTCTGACGTGGCTCCAGTGTTGGTCCAGCACGTATACCACGCAGCCCGTTATGAAGGCACCCCGCCAATCCACGTCTGTCAGGTAAATGGAAACACCTTCATTGGTGCACCTGTGAACCTGATACGTGGAAGAAGCCGTGTGTGACATACGTAGACGGGCTGTGACCTTTTAGGAAACCACTGCACCCAATCCCAACAATAGATGGCTCAGAGATCCGGAGAATCGACTGGTGCGTGGGTGAGTGGAAAGAGGGTGTGAAATCGACATTTGGACCTCGACCCCCCTCCTTCCCCAAGCCACTCCAATACATCAACTACTGTAATAAATCTGATGCGCTGGAATCTATCATGACGCGCTAAAGTCATGATTTGGAAGACTACCAACTGGCAGAATAAATCAATCCAAGTGATTAATTTTGCGTGCGTATTGGGATGACTGGACCGAAGAATGAGTGTCCGGCTCTACGTCACTCTCATGCACGTGAGATCCGAGCCGTCCCACATATTGCGAATACTTGATACAGAAGGAGAAGATGCGATCACTGACACGGGTGGTTTATCGACCAGACTTTTTGCATTCTTACTCGAACGCACTATGAGACGCAATCGATAGTTCGACCGTCCTGTTCGACGATATCAACTACGGGCTTCAAAGATTTGAAGCACGCGGTGACTGCGGCCAAAAAAATAATGGAGGCAAACTGGCTGGATTTACCCCACTCTCTGACCACTCCCACGCATAATTCCAGTTGTCAAGACGGAGTCAAGTAGGCCGGAAAAAATAGTGAAGGGGCGCAGACGGCTGGCGCGACAAACACTCAACACGCGTACCAACAGCACGTCTCGCTAGGTATGCTCCCGACATGGAGCGCCATAAAGGCCACATTAAGAAGGAACCATTGCATCTGACTCTCAGCCCAACCAGTCGATCAACTATATTGTTGCCAATACATGCAAACCTGTATAATGTGTCCAGCACATTACATTCCTAAGCGTTTCTCTGCTGAGTACCTCACAAGATGCCGCCGCTATTGAACATCTCACTATCTACAAAATAAAACTCCCGTCATTGATATATCACAAAAATTCTGTTGGGGAGCAATACGCAGTAACAAGTTGGCTGTTCTTTTTATTCGCTCAGAACCCCCTCTGCGCGGGTTAAGAAAGGGCACCACATAATCTAAGTGAAAGCCTGAAAATTTCGGGAATGCAGAAAACGATTGCCTGCATGACCAAATAAGTCTGATCGCTCAAGATAATCCATACAGTCGATCTGTCCAGTTCTGCTTTAAAATACTGCCAAGGAGAGGTGAGTAGAGTTTCGTAGCTATTAACTGCTGTATACGATTTTTAACCTCCAATCTCGCTGAAAGAATGGGCCTGGCGTGCAAGTATGTCAGTGCTGTCTTCGAACACAGTAGAAATGAACTCCAACAATGCAAGTTTTTATCATAATTACTCGTACTGAACATACTATAAAACTATACTCACCCTTCGAAGATACTTAAACCGGCAAACTGTTACACACTGACACGAAGAGAACTGGAGTTTACTTTCTGCCTGCGGTAATCTCAAGAATTTGCTAGAAAACGATCGAAACATAAAGGGTAGGGGGTGAGGAGGGGCTGACAAACCTTTAAGAGCTGTTCCGCCTTCTTCACTGTTTTCAGCATTTCTCCTTCCCTGGGAAGCAACTTGCGGAAGTGACACGTGTTGAACAGTTTTCCCTGCACGGAAATGTAGGCCTCAAAGTGCTCGCAGGCAGTCATGCACATGAAGCCTAAGAGAAGCTTCAGGGCTACCGGCTGAAAAATTGATGATAGGGGGGTAACGGCTGGTGCAACTGAATAATGAAAGATTTATGCGTGTTTGAAAATTCTACAGAGGGTGAACAACCAGAGAGTAATTGCACTAAAGCTTGTGGAGCCAGCGGAAAATAAGGTAGCCAACGGCAGGTGCAACCAAATTCAAAGTTGAATACCACTCTTTAAACAGCATTTCAGCGACCGCGAAGGTGCTCAAGCGTGTGCGTTTCGTATGCAAAATGTGCAGGTGTTCATTTTTATGGACAGAAGTAAGTTTATTGGATTGGCATCCGAGAGCCAACTAGTAACGACAGGGCCCCTTGGGCCTTAAATATACAAATTATTATTATTATT